GTTTGGGTTAGCTCTGTGTTTTGGTCTTCGAGCTCTGAGATTCTTTCTTCTGCTTGGCTATTTCTGCTTTCCATACTTATTAGTTTGTTATTTATTTCCATCACAATATTTTTTACTGTGGTTATTTCTGACATCAGCTGCTTCCTATTTTCCTCTTGTCTCTTCTCAATTTTTTTTAAAAATTCTCTCTATTAATGTCTTGATGTCTGGGTTTGTTTCATGTGACCAGTCATTCTGGGGACTCTTCATTGTTTATGTTCCGAAGTCTGTTTTCTCAGTGTCTGACCTCCCAGGGGCCCATGTGTGACCTATATTCTTCTTTTGGTTTTTCTTCATTTGTGCGGTTTTTTGTTGTTGTTGTTGTTGTTGTTTTCCCTTCCCTATTTTTTCCTTACCTCCACTTTACCGTCTTCTTTAATTCTGTTATTCAGGGGTGGAGGGGTTGTTTTTACTTCTGTTTGTTCAATCTCCTCTTCTTCTTTATGTATGTCCTCTTACTTTGTTCAACTCTGGAGTTGCACTGTAGGTTGGAGGTGGTCCTTTTTGCAGTTTTGAGATTTACTTAAGGGGGGAGCTGTGATTCAAAATCTATATGCAGGTCCTGGTATCCTCCGACAGGTGTATGAATAATCTGAAACCCACTTCCCTCTACCTTGTAATCTGTCCATGAAGTGGGGTTATAGGTTTACTCCCTGAAATAAAATGCAGTTAACCGAGGGAAGAGAATGGAGCAGGCAGTGGGGGGAAGAGGAGGGTGGAGAGAGAGAGGAGTAAGGGCGAAAACCGACGAGTGTACCCACAAATGGAGAGAGAGACAAAAATTGAAATACATAAAAACAATAGACCATGGCTACAAACTAACCAACTCCCATACAAAAAAAACGGAAAACATACAATGTTACTAACATACAAGCTTACCAACCTCCTTATTGGTGTGCTATTCCTCTATACAAAGATATGGTTTACAGAGAGAAGAAAAGAAGGGAAAAGAAGGAGGAAAAAAAGGGGGGGTGCTGGGCTCAGTGGCTCAGCCTGTAATCCCGCACCTTTGGGAGGCTAAGGTGAGTGGATTGCCTGAGTCTGTGGGTTCGAGACCTGCCTGGGCAGGCGAGACCTCATCTCTACAATAAATCAAAAAAT